AGACGATTCTTATGTATCAGTGAATCCGAAAATTAGCTAAACCCCACCGAAAACAATTGAAGACTGTAGATAAGTCTAAACCTATAGACCAAAAAATCGTAGAATTATACAAGGTTAAGCGACAAAATAGTTCTGTTTGATAATGTACTTAGAACAAAATTTTCCCCTTACAACTCCAGCCAAACTCCCAAGGTAGTAACTAAATAACGAACAAGTCTCCCCTTCCCCGCACAGATAAAGAAACACATCAAAGAGTAAGTTAAAGGCCAATACACACAATTTATCGTATTACTACAACCGACATTATGTTGTAAATAAACTCTTTCCGCGGGAGGAGGGATTTTATTTCGTTTCCCAATACACTATGAGCACCCAATCTCGAGGAACACTTAATACTCCGAAACACGGGGCCTCGTAAAAGGAACCGATTAATTATATGACCGACACCCCGTCGATCACGAATGGTAGACTAGCGATGTGAACAGGATCCCCAGAAGTTCAAAGGAGATACCTCCCATTCTACACCTGGTATGTTGGGGACTGAACAACAATGAAGAGGTGGCTCCACTTGGGACAAGAGGCTTGGGCGGGTTTCCGGGTCCGGTGAAACAAGTAGGCCTCGGCTGCCGTTCCGAGGAAGTTTCTACTACCACGACCTGGAACGGAGGCCCGAGCCCGCCCCTCCCGGTCTCCCCGGTCTCTATTTTCGAGGCGGAGAGGGGGTAGGGTTGTACCTGTTGTCTCATGTTTGTTAGAATTAACGGTAAATGTAAGCATATAGCAAATAGTAATTTGTTACCTACTCAAGTCGAAGGGTGGACTCAGTGTTGGAGATTTGACTAATAAAGGCCATGCTACTCTATAAAGGCATTAACATATTGAAGGTGGGAAACCTTGGTTACAACATCAAAAATGAAGTTGAGGAACAGTTTTGAACTGCCAAATCAATGAGCAATGGTAATGTTCTTATTAATCCGATTTGTTTTTATTATTCTAGTTGCTTTATTTTGTGAAACTAAGTCATTTGCCAATTATGTTAGGTCCCGTCGTGTCGGTGTCAATAAAACCTATCCGGAGGTAGAAATTTGCGTCGGACAAACTTGTGTTGTTACGTACTTTATTAGTACTTAAGATTTCTCGTACAAATGGACGAAAACCATTGAATTCATATAAAACTACCGGCTATGAAAACATGTAAATAAATTCACGACTAAAACTTTAGGTCCTGATATTGAACAATTTTATCGAGACAATGTTCAAATATACAGACCTTAAGTTTTTAGTATTAATTATGTTACATGTTTCATAGCCGTAGGGGTTTTATATGAATTCATGGTTTCGTCCCTTTCGGGTACAGATAATTTAATACTAAATAAATACGGTTAATAACACAACGTTTGTCGGACCAATTTCTCCTCCGGAATAGGTTACTATTGACACACACGACGACCTTAAATATATTGCAATGAACTTTAAGTTTTTCACATAAATAAGCAAACTAAATATAACAAAAATCGATTATAAGACATTTACATTGCTCATTGATTTGTGCAGTTCAAACTGGTTTCTCAAAACTCATTTTTGTGTTGTAACCCGAAGGTTTTCACCTTCATATGTTATGCCTTTATAGAGTAGCATGCCTTAGGTCACTCCACACTGAGGTCAACCTTCGCTTGTAGGTAAAATACTATTGCTATATGCTTACTTTACCTTATTCTAACAACATGAGACAGACAGGGTAACCTACCCCCTCCGCCTCGACATAGCAGACCCGGGAGGACTCGGCTCCCTTCAGCCGTCGTGGCTAGTAGAAACTCCTCGGAACCAAGCCGGCCTGCTTGGTTCACCGGCCCGAAACCCCCCAGCTCTTGTCCAAGTGGACCCCTTCTTCATTTTGTTCAGATCTCCATATAAACCATGTAGAAAATGGGGGTATCTCCTTTGTAAACTTCTGAAGGGATAAACACTGGTTTCACATGCAGTCTACCATTCGTGTCACCCGGGTTGTTCGTATATAATACTCCGCTTCCGTTTTACAGGCCCCGGTTTCGAGATAAAGTGTTCTCGGAGATTGGTGCTCACTTACGTTGTATTGGAAACAACATAGATCCCTTCCTCCCCCGAAAGAGATTACAGCAAATGATTCCGTTGTAGTAATACGAAAATTATGTGGTGTTATATGCCTTAACTTACCTTGAGGTGTTACTTATTCTGCGGGGGAGGGGAGACTCGTTTATTTGTACTACTGGAGTTTGGCTGGGAGGGGTTTAAGGAATTTGTTTCTCAAGTACATTTCAAAAGAACATTTTCGTAAACTGTTTAATTTTCTACATGTTTTGGTCTTGTTTTAGACTTATCTAAGCCATGTTTCGGTGGGGAGCTATTTCGGACAACTGTACACAATGATCGTCTCCCCCCCCCACCCCGTTCTACCACGAAGTCACACGACCAAACTTTCCTCCACCTCCTTCTTACGTATGTCGGACCAACCGAGACATTAACCACGACCTACCACCTCAAAGGATGGGATCGAAGAGACCAGAGGGATGAGAGAGAGACCGAGACTGGAATGAGAGACAGACACTCTGCGACTTGTACGGACGAGGACGGAGGACCTAGATATTTCAGACATGGGCAGCTCTGTTTATGTATCATCCTTATTTTTGTCTCGTTGTTTTTATTTATGTCAATCTATAAAATGTTGGAATTTAGTTATTATACATCAACTAACAGAATTACACCGAGACAAAGTGCGAACTTAAATTATCCTGTTAATACTCTACGTAATTTACATATTATAACTAGCATTGAGACCAACAAGGACAGAAACCTCTTTCCAAATAACCTGTAATGTGTAACTTTCCGTGTCTTTATATCAAAACTCATTATGGCCAGATAATGTAACGATGTGATTCGTGGAGTTTGTTATGCACTTACATTAATAGATTAACCTGACAAACTTAGTTTGCCTGTTACTTCCTGGGGGGGGGCAGATGGTGCTTCAGTGTGCTGGTGAAGGAGGTGGAGGAGATGCATACAGCCTGGTTGGCTCTGTAATTGGTGCTGATGGTGGAGTTCCTACCCTAGCCTTCTCCTGTCTCTCCTACTCTCTCTCTGGCTCTGACTTACTCTCTGTCTGTGAGACGCTGAACATGCCTGCTCCTGCTCTCCTGGATCTATAAAGTCCTGTACCGTAGACAAATACATATAGGAATAAAAACAGACAACAAGAAATAAATACATTAGCATATTTTACAACTTAAATCATATAATATTGTAGTTGATTGTCTTAATGTGGCTTCTGTTTCACTGCTTGAATTTATATAGACAATTATGAGATTATTAATATGTATATATTGATGCTGTAACTCTGGTTGTTCCTGTCCTTGGAGAAGTTATTGTGACATTACACATTGAAAGGCACAGAATATAGTTGAGTAATACCTGTCATATTACATTGCTACACTAACACCCAAACAATACGTGAATGTAATTATCTATGGACTGTTTGAATCAACGGACAATGAAGGAGCTACAAAACACACCCAAAGGGAGGACTGTCATTGGCTAAAAGTCACAAGAGGACCTTCTTATAACAGATGTTTTATTTATTTAGCCATGTCATGTGACCTTGGATATGTAGCATATGTGATGTGTGTCTATATATATCTTAAGGTCTACTTACCAATGTATACAAATGAGTGCAATTGTATGTATGTGCATATTGTTCTATATTGAATTCTTTAATGTAACATTTTCACTTACAGTAACCAATTTAATACCAGAACAGTCTCTTTTGTTACGATTATTGTTAATTTATTTAAATGTCTTCTCGTAATTTGTTTTGAACTTATCTGGTGTTTTGTGATTACATTTTTTCACGCATGTATCCCTTGAATCTTTGAGAAAAGAATTGTTTTCTACAAAAGTTACTTCACATTTTCTTGCAGCCTTTGTTTAAACATAAAACTATATCAATGTATGATGTCTATCAGATTTGATATGAAAAATTATCTTATATTGTCAAAAAACAAACATTAAGATGCTTTCACTGCCGCCCCCTTCACAAAGCTATTGCTAACATTATGACACAATAAAGTCAAATGTGTATTTTTATTATACTTTTATGTCTTCCTTCTATGTTCAGAGACAATGTTTCCCTTGAATATTGTATCACCTTTATCCATCTCATGACTTAAAGGTGCTATAGTGATTTAAAGCTGAGGGGAAGAACACATCTTTAGGCCCCGATGCACGGTCCTTTATAACCCTGCACATACATAGTGATACATGACAGCCTGATTTCCAGATGAACTACCTTGGCTTCCAGACGCAGGCGATCAATGGTGTTCTCCGCGTCGGCGTGCTTAGTCAGCAGTCTGTAGTAGTCCTCCTGCA